CGAATTGAGAGGGCTTGTCTAACGTATTAGTTAAAAGGAACAGGATCTCATTTATTTCCAAGAGTTTGTTTGAGTATTGAAGGAGTAAATCTCTAAAGAAACTGCGGTACTGCGTCGGTGAGGGGTATTACACGATAAGTTGGTTTTCTAATCTGAAGTGATAATGTAAATTGTGTACTGTCGATAGTTTCTGAAGCTGGCGTTTCGAGCGTTAGCCCTTCGTCACAACAAATGACTTTGTTCTTGAGACAAAAACCGTGATCATTGGAAGGTCTGCTAGTTTGTTTACAATTATGATCGAGGAGATGTGGAAATGGTTTAAAATCGCAAGCAGAATGTATCATGAATTTATTTATAAGATCAGTTACCTTAAAGCCATCTGGAGCTTCTCGCTGAACGTAAACAAATTCTCGAGATAAATTTACGAGCGCAAAGAATTCTTGAAATCACCTTTTAACTTAACAATTGAACATTAACATTTACGGCTGAGATCTTCCTTGAGTCACGCGACTGTAAAACGATCACGCAATTTTCATTTTTTTATTATTAATGAAACTGTTAGAGTTTACCATTTCTGATTAAAATAAACTTGTTTGACTGTCAGTGAGATATATTTCCGTCGTAATCAAACCCTGAAACTGCTATCGTTTCTTCGGTTTGATTGCAAATTTAATAACAACATATCATTAAAGAAAGGTACATTGACGGCGGAACATTAATTTATTTATGTTACGGGTCGTTTAATGCGAATGACAATATTGAAATAATTTGTTTCACACAACAGTTTCAAAACTCTTGACCAATGCGAAATTTGATCATTTCTTACTTACAGTTGAGTTTAGAGATACAACACTCAAAAGAACTTAACACCTATCTAAGAATTGTGACGCCACTACCTCTACAGTCTCATAAGACACAACGTTTACACTATTCCAAAAATCAAACAATCGTTGATTAAAGAAACATTTACATAAGCTAATCAAAACTAAACAGTCCATTGATAAAACAGTCCGCGTCGTCTTCCGTTGGGTGCGATTGTCAATTCTTTCACGTGATAAAGGAGAGAGAGAGAGATGCATTAAACAGTTTACTTTCGTATCTTTCATAATACATTCAGGCACGGATAGGAGTCTCATACAAGTGGAAATGGGGTCTATATTCCCACCAGGTAATGAGGGATACTCTAAAAATCGAGATAATACGTTGGCAAACAAATATTTTTGATTCCTAGACATTAATTATTAAAAATTGGTCGGCAAAGTTGTGCTTAAGGAATCTCTCAGCTCTATCAAGTCACTTGTGCGGTATACTGGTTCAGTATACAAGTCGGTTACACAATCCAAAGAAACACGGAATAAACTTCCATCATGTTTTTTTTTCTTTTATTTTAAGGTTTTAAAATTCATTTCCAACTTCAGAGGCAACCACGACTAAATTTTTTGCCGCGCACCAAAATGTCCCGTTTTACGTTAAAAGCTTCGATTGAATGAATGAATGAACTGATCACATCAAATGCAAATTTGCATAAAAGTCATCAAATGTTGCGTGGACACGCGCGTAAGTTTGATTTTTCCTCGTTCGCTCTCTTTCAAAATTGGTATAGTTTTCTCTTGTGCAGTGATCTGTGAATTCTGCTCCTTGGTTTGA